CCCTATGCTTTGTTCTTTTATCCTTTAATTATTGTGGAGTAAAATCAAAACATTTGAAAGTATTTCGGCAACAGCGGAACAAATAGCATGTATAGTTTGTCCTTAGAATGGCTGGATGAGTTATTACAAGAATGCTGTGTTGTGGACAAAGCTTTCGTCCCAGCCGGGTGGAAATGGTTCCCTGGTGGTGTAATTGATAGCGCAATTACTCGGTGAGCAAGGGATCAGGGTAGGCATCCCTGCTAGAGCGTAAGTTTTGCCCTTAACTCGCATTCTTGCGTCAACTTTCGCAACACGAACTACAAGCTACAAGAAAGCCATCATCTTGAAATTCTCCCTATGATTTATAAAAATCTATCATGTTTGCAACAAGATATTTAACCCTGATTCTTGCAGAGGCCGTATTGTGACAATTACAAGTATATGTTCACGTCTTGGCATTATGGGCATCGGACCGTACACTACGGCAAAATTTGCCGTAACTGGATACTGTGATGTTATCAGGTAGTTTTCGTTAATGATTTTGTCCGCGCATTCCATGAATCGATGAATAATCGTAGACAGGAGATGCGGCTGTTCGGTGTTTCGGTGCACATAATAGAACCAGGATTCTTCAAAACAACTCTCATTAGTCCTGAAAACGTAGACGTGAGTTACCCTATCAACTTTGTACTGGATAATGGGCGAGCGTAAAGATTACAGAAGCAGCTTATGTCTATGTATGAGAGTTGTCCAGATGACGCGAAACGTGAGTATGGCCACCAGTTTTTCATGGAAAGTGAGTTGCTTGTCGTGGTTCCATTTGAGTTTACATTTGAAAGCTGCTTGTAACTGCAATTGACAAATTTGAATTGTGAAGAAGTGCAGTTTGGGGAATAGAATGGGGAATGGCACCATTCAGAAATAGAATGCAGTAGAGTGCGGTAATTGTAAAATATGCCGCACATACAAGCGTACGATTAGTCAGCTTACATTAATTGTTCTCCGCCTCAGTTAGTAACGAGTCACATTCTCAACTGGACAAGTACGAGACGATGCAGGACTTCGAATCACAATCAGTAGAATAGTTTGGGATTTTCTTCAGAACCTAGAAGTGTAATGCTGGGATTCGAAAATGACATTTGTGGAGGGAAGACCCTACTCTATTTATTAGGGGACTCGTGCTTGTGAAGTTTTTCCTCCATTCGTTTGCTATTTGCGAGACATGCTTGTGACGATTACTTGAAATTTAAAACTTTAGCCATTATGCTTCTGCAACCCATCACGGTCGCTCAGGCTGGTGCCCTAGTCTGCGATAAGTCGCGCGCTTCGCGCGAATCGCAGGAATCGGAAGTACCCCAATTGTAGATTCGAAACACTGAACATGAAACAAGTAGAGTCTTGAAAAATCGTCATTAATCCATTACCATAAAGCAGAAATGATGACGGCATTGGAGAGCACCGAGGATCAGAGTATTGACCGGGACACTTGGGATTTCTGTGATCCGTCGTGCTATTCGCGCGACGGATCGCGGACTCTGCATTAGAAAAATGGGATTTGGACCGACATCTTTTGTAAAATTCCTCATAAAATTGGGAAGGATAAAAACTTGATGCTAGAATATGCGAAACGCAATCCTTTTACGTATAGTTTTTTGGCTAACAGTAGTCATGGAGTAGTGAAAAGAAATGCAGTAATACTGGCACATTACACTGGGATTGGGACGGTTAGTGAATATTG